ATAATGAATTTTATAACGTCATAGATTAATTTGTTGCGATTCAATTATTCAACATTTTTATTTCTTAAAATGATTAAATGCATGCAAATAATTACTATATGATAGTAATCTTATCAAAACATAGTACATGCTGTCTTGATCGATTCTCTTGTTATATATTACATTTTCTCTGATTAAGTTAAATTTCAGATGACTTTTCCTCTTGCAGCTAACTCTCTTTCTCTTTTCGGAGATTCATTCTACAATGTTGTTAAACAATTCTGTGGTGTGGAAGCAGTTCAATTGCTCAAATTTCAGTTAATTGATACTTCAATGGATTTACTTGAAGTCGATGACATCTTTTCCATTCTTCAATTCGAGTCAGACCAAACTGCAACGCTCAAACAAATATTAGGTGTTCCTTGTAAAGATGAATTTGGAAATTATTCATTCTTTATTATGCCAGGACTTCGTTTGAAACTTAACAAATTTATTCATACACTTCGGTCTCTTCTTCCATCTACTGATTCTTCATCAACTACGAAAAGTCTAACATTATCTTCTGATCTAGTTAAACAATATCCGTTTTTGATTGATCTTATATATTGCTTTGAATCAAATTTATTATCTAAATTTCTTCTGGATCTTATGTCGAACATAGTATCCAACCTAACACGCACAAAAAACTGCTATCGTTATCAACCATCAGTGAAAGACTTTGCAACATGTCTTTACGTTTTAGGAGGGAGAACCGTATATGAGTTCATACGGATAAACATTCCTGGATTTATACCTAGTTTGCCCACGCTCCGCACAATTATTTCATCTACAAAAAATGAATATTTGGAAGGCGTGTTCTATTATGATCGTCTAAAGAATTACATGGATTCATTCAAATGCACATACGCATTCGTGGGTGAAGATTGTACCGGTGTTGTACCACAAGTTCATTATGATGTTCATTCTAATTCCTTTATAGGATTCGCACTTCCGCTTACGGATGGATTTCCATCAACACAATATTTCTCAACTAACCTATTAGCTGATCTTGAAATGTGGTATAATCAAGTGGATAAAGCGTCTCTTCTTAACTTGCATGTTGTGCAACCGGTGTGTCCTCCAAGTCAAACTTCACCACCATCATTTATACTTTCATGTTATGGTACAAGCGGCAAGTATACCGCTCAAGACATTCTAAAAAGATGGTTTAAAATATTTGACTCTTGTCTTGAAAAGAACATAAGAGTGTTAGGATTTTCAACGGACTGCGAACCTCGGAGTCTCAATGCAATGCGTAATGCTATGGGATTCTTTTCAAAATCAGAAGTACAATTTGAAGAATATCCACATCATTTCAAAATTTCATTTTTGAAGGTTGGTAAATTAATAAGAGATTTAAGTTAAAAGCTACGCTGATTTTATCTAAAATGCGTAGAAAAATATATAGAACACTATGAATCAGTAGAATTGTTGAATAGATAATAATTTCAGTTAGTGATATTATCTGAGTGAATAGGATCATTGAAAAATGAAATAGATATCTCATAACTGAATCTTTCCATATATATTTTTTCTACTATTTAGGATAGCTCATGGTTCTTTTTAAAACCACAACAGCTTTTTCTTTGCTACTAGGACGGTGTGCACATCTGCACGAAGTTAAGGAACCGTCTTTTAGCTCCTACAATTACGTTATTAATGGGAGAGAAGTACGCAAGTGTTGATTATCTTATTGAATTGATTAACAACTATTCAAAGCTTGATCATGCTTTGACAGTTTCAGATGTCCTACAAGATGATAAACAGAATTATTCCTCGTGCGAAAAGATCACAAGCGATGCAGTTCTTACTTTTTTAAAAAAGATTCCAAATTCTGAAGCATTACAAGCTTATCTGAAAGTAATATTTTATTGATTTCTTTATTTATGTAACTCACGAGAAGCAATTTAGTAAAATTTTAAATCTTTGATTCACCATAAAAAAACAGAATTTTAGTAAAATCTTTTTACTATGAATAGTCCTAAATTATTTAAAAATTGCAGCTTTTATTCTTTCTCAAGTTCTATTGAATACTTAAATATTTTTTATTTAAATTTTGATAGATCATTCGATTTACTCGTTTGGCATTCGTCCAGAAACACACCAATATTGTTGATCGCTTATACTATTCGTGGACCGCCGTCTTTATAGTTCGTCTATGGTCTTCATGGTTAGAAGTCACTACTTATGCCGATCTTCAAGAAATAATCTCGCATTTATTACCATCTAATTCTATGACATCTATATCTAAAACAAGCTTATTTATAACTATGCCGGCTCTTTTCTCTCTTGAAATAAATGTTCACAGCTTGACATACCTCGCGGTACTTGTGGCAGAGAAAATGGTAACTGAAGAAGCTCTGAATGTATCGCTATTTAATTCACAGGTATGCGAACACACTTTTCGAGCGGCGCGATCAATGTCAGGCCCATTCTCATCTGTTGTGAACTTTTCCATTAGCGAATTTCTTCAGCGTGTCGAGAAGCTGGCTGCTCTTCAAGCTATTAAGTCCTCATCTGAATCTAATAATAACAATCTGATCTTTCCTAAACATCATAAACAATCACAACAAAAGCATCAAGTAGCTGTAATGCATACAACGACCATACTCACAGAGAAACTCATTCAAGATACACTCTTCAGTGCTTATCTTCAAGCTTGTCAAATCCTTTCTGATTGTAACTTATCAATTCTCGATCCGAACGGTATAACCATATCGTTTGATGAGGTGAATCGTTTAGCATTTCAAAAATTAACAAGATCACAATGTAAAACTTTTAGCCAGAAAGATCATCAATCAAATAATAGTAAACAAGACGAAGACGACGATTATGAAGAATATTTGAGTCAAAAGCAGTATAATGCAAATAATAATATTGATGACTATGATCAATCGATATCAAGCGATGAATCAGATACTGATGTTCTTCCTAATGTGTCGAATTCAACGTTTCGTGGAATGCGCATCTTTGACTCTATCAACAGCAATCAAAGTGCATCATTTTTTTCTGTCGAAGTGAATGGACAAAAGAAATTTATGCACAAACAAGCTGCAAACTGGTATTTTTCCAAAACAAAGCCTATTCTATCATCTGATCGATCAATTAGAGTTCAAAATAAATAAATTTTTTGTATTGTTTATTTTCTACAGATATACAATGTATATGTGTAATAAAAAATGATCGTTCCATTTTTCTATTTCTTTAACTGACATAATTAACTAACATTCAACTCATCTTCCAATCATTATAAATGATCTTAGTTGAACTGTAACTCAAAATGCAGAAAAAACATTTCATTTTAAATGTTTTGTTCTGAACTTATATACATATAGATTACATACATTAAATAAACTATGGCATGTATATCTGTACATATCTAAGCTTTTCATATGTACCAATTGATTGCTTACTTCAGTAATTGCTCGACAGACTAGCTGAATAAAAAATGAGTACAAGCATTTGTATGCCCCATGCATATTTCTAAGAAAATAATAATCTTAAACCACCGTAAAGTCATGTTGTGGTACTTAATTCACCTGAGTTTTAAATCACCTTAACTCAATTTAAATCATAAAAAATCAGCTTAATTCATTTTTAATCACAAAAATCAATTTTAATCAAAAAATGATAAATCGCTTTTTCCCCCTTGGGTATTCCAATATATACATCGTCTCACATGTATTAAAAACTAGATATCAAAGTCAATAAATAACATCTGAATCAAAATGATGAACTATAGGTTTTTTCTATTGAATATTCTATTGATAATATAATAAAATGTTATTTGAAATATAAACTCGATAGCAGATAGTCACAATAGAAAAATTATTTATCAATGGCATTAGTCTATTGAAGAAAATCAAAACTTAAAGAGATGAAAACGTTCAACAGCAAGTACGTACATCGTATTATCTTTCTTAACTCAAATAAAAGCGTTTTATTTATTTTTTACTTGATACAGAATCATTTTACAATGTATTCATTTCTTATTTGACAATTCTTAGTACAATAAAATCTATGACGATATCCTCTTATAATATATGATAAAAAAGTTTCTCTGGATCAACACAATTTTTCTATAAATCAACATCTTTAACTCTCGGTTTATATTAGCCTACTATTTCATCACATTAGGTGTAATATAATCAAATAGTTTTGATTAAACGAAACTTTTATTTGTTATAGATGATAATGATCGTCTTCTATATATGAATATACAACTCTTCGGAGAGAATCTTTCATTTCTTCAAGATATTTTTGCTTTTAATATAACCTTTGCTCGTTGAGATTTATTTCACTGATTGATTCTATCATCTTGGATGAATTATACTCATCTCGTTTAGGAAAAAAAACGTTTATTCTTGTCTTGGATGATGGTCATATATATATACAATCAGAACATTTAACCAAGCAAATTTTTTTCTTCGAATAAATTTTATTTTCAACATAACACCTTTTGATCGCGATTTGTTTTTTCACATCTGTTTTATCACATCGAATGGAGCATAATCACTTCGTTTTGAACAAAAAAACCTTCATCCTTCATGGCTGATGCTGGCCGTCTATATGTATATACATAGCTATCACCAGAGAAACTTTTCTTTCAAAAAACGTTTTCTTTCAACATGACATCTCTTCGTGGTGATTTTTTTTATCGACTACATCACATTTGATGAGATCTACTTGTTTCGTCTGAAAAGAACAAATATTTGTTTTATTGCTGCTGATTATAGTCACACATATATCAAGCCACAACATTTAACAGTGAGACTTATTTCTAAAAATCAATTTTGTCTTCGACATGATATCTTTTAGTTGAACTTTATTGTTCTGATTTATTTCATCACATCTGATGAAATATATTTATTTGCTTTTCAAAAAAATTCATTGTTTTCTATAGATAATAATGTTAGTCATGCATATATCAACTTTCAACCTTTAAGGGAGAAAACTTCACTTGTACGAACGAATTTTATTTTCTACCAAACAATGTTTAGTCGAGATTTGTTTCATGAATGTATTTTATCACATCTCATGATAAATACTTTTTTTTGTTTGAAAAAATAATACATTTTTAGTGTAGATGATGACCATGATCAT